AAAACATGTCCATACCACTCTAACCTTGCTTTGTTAATATTTAATTACCATTTACGACTATTTAAGTAATTTTGTTACGAAATTTAATTTCGATAGTATTGTATTTTTGATATTTTTATGCTTTGCCAGTGTTTGTTTACTTATTCTGCCATTGTGGCAACCCTAGGATACACTTTTTTAACGTCGTCTATTTGTGACACAAGGTAAAGTGACGTACAGCCAATGGAATATCTACACTGAAGCTGTATATATCTTGCATTTGAACATGTGATAAATCTTTAAAAAATATGAATTTAGCAGTCATAAATAAAAAAAATTGCAAGGAAAGTAAATTAAAGAATTTTAAAATGGAAAATACATTTTTATCCTCTAAATATAACTTTATGGTCAGAAAATATAGTTCAAGTACTAAATATTGACCGTAGTGTTAATGAAGTGTTTACTGCACATAAATCCATTTTATTTAAATAATTGAAGGTTACATACGTAATTAAATAGTAATTGAATATTTATAAAATGTAATATGAATTAAAATTGTAGTATATTCGGTCGAAAAAATGTTTTATAATCTAAAAGCCAGATATATCTGTATCAAAATATAATTAAATAGCTTTCGCACTCGACTCCGCGTGAAATTCAAGAATACATAAGTAAGGCTACGTGTTAATCGAGATCCGGTCCACAGAGCAGGTTACAAACATCCATCCATCTATCTAAACTTTCGCATTTATGTTACAAAGACTAAATTTTTATTGTATCTTTGTATAGAACAGTAAAATAAGTTTTATCTTCAATTCAATTTATAAAGTTATTTTTTTCCATGACGTTTGCTTTTTGATAACCTCAAAAATGTATTCAAAACAATCATGAATATAAAACTACAGTGTTAATTCCATTCTGTACAAATACTTTTCAAAACTTAAATTTAGATACGTTTATCTAATCTGTCCCTAACCTACGTTATTTTGGGTAGGTCGTGTTTCTTTATATTGTTATACGATTTCGCGTATTTTTAGATAATTTTCCATATCAATGTGTCATCTAATTTTTGCGTCAGTTCTTTGAATAACTAAAGTAAACTGGGAGCCTATTACGAATACTTAGACTGTTGCGAGACTGTATTCGTAATGTCGACAAAATCAGTATGAGATTGGTTGGTGTATTTAACGCCACCGGTGGGTACAAATGTGATACAAATTTTATCGATGAAGTTACGAAAACGGTGTCACGAATTATCATGGTAAAACGTTACCTAAAGTAACGTTTAATTATCGATATCGCTAATTAATGTGTTATGTATCGACTTCACATACATGTATAAGATAGATTTTCAAACTAATTGAATGTGACTTTGTTTACAATCTCTGTTCGTCCGAAGCTAGTAATAAAATATTTTAAGAAATGTAAAAAGAAGACCTTGATGCGATAAAATTCGTGTAAACACACGAGTTTGCGCGGAATAGGTATAAATTCATAATAATCACTCGCTAGCGGGTCGTCGACCGTGTGCCCGTGACTTCACCTTCGGGCCTCGTAGATAATGGCAATTCGGCAACACGGCGGCGCGGTCGCGGCGCACAACTGTGCTAAAGTTAGGGTAGGCCCCGCCCGTGTCGCTTCACTACACTAATGTGACATACGGACCACATAGCCACGAAAATATTACCTTATTTGTATTACGAACGTATAATATTTACTGATAGATAAATTGCCATTTCTTGACATATTAGATAACAAATCGCTTTTAATTTTCATTTTAATTAAATTTATTTTTTCATACTTAACTACTCTATTTTACTATTATTAATGCGAATGGATGGATGAATGTTTGTACTATCCAAATATGTCTTTAACGGATTTTAAGTCCGCGTGGACGAAGTCGAGGGCAAAAGCTAGTGATTAATATTAAACTAACATATGAAACGTTACTCCTTATGTAAACTCAATACTGAATACAGTTGTTGCTATGCGCGGTAGAGATAACCTTGAGACAACCATACAGTACATATTTACAGACGAATCAATGGTGTTTATATTGTAAAACTTAGATTCCATCTACCAAAATGGCGTCGTTTTATATTGGCCTTGATCGGTATCCGCTTACCGAATTTCACGCAAGCGCATTAACATTTGTGTTGGCGTAGGACCTCAGGTAAAGCTTTTTGAAGTAATTAATGTAGTAAAAAATTATTAACAAAACCGTATAAGTTTTAAGACCATCAAATATTTGTAGAAGCAGTAATACTACCGTAGCAATCGTAGATCTCATAGAGTATTTTTCAAATTAATTTAACGAACAGTAAAATTTTCGTTCTTCGAAACTCATCCACAATCATATCTCAAATATTAAGTTAATAAGTTCTAAATTCAAATACAGTTCTAGCCAAATTTCACGACCTAATTTATCAAATCACTTTCGATTGAACTGAGAAATAGCAGACGCTAAGAAACAAGATGGCGTCGTATTTCGGGCAGCCTTGATAGCTATCCGTTTAGGAAATTACACGCGCGCCTAACACCGTTTGCGTTGTCGTAGGCTCACAAAAGACTTCGTATAAGTTCGCTATCGCTGTATTACTGTACACTATACATTTAATTCAGTTATGTTTATGTTTTGGCGCCAACATGGCGACGTGTTTTTCGGCGGCCTTGAAGTCTAGATGTTTCGGCAAGATTACGTTATATTATTCCATTGTGAAGCATTTTATGTTTTAAAAAGTAGATTTTATTATTTAATTTACTAATTGTTTTTATGTTACTTCATATAGTTGATAGTTTTTATGTAAGATTTGTTAAACTGTATAATGTTACATAGCAGAGATCTGCAATTTTGACGAAATTGTTAATCCGGAAAAAGCTTGATGGCTTATAAAGACCGTTGTTATTTTAGACTCACTACTAAAAAAAAACTTATCTGCATTAATGTTTTAAGAAGATATGTGTTTGTGAATGAACTCAAAAACTACTTGACCTATTTCCATACAGCGTTATTCCCAAATAAAAGAAGCTGTTTTCTTACTTTTTTATAACATTTTATCAATACTATTATAATAAAGCGTAAACACACACTTTGTTGCCTAAGATGTCAGCAATTACAACATATTTTTGAATAATTATTTTTTTAAATAAAAAGCCCTACACTTACGTCATGCTTTAGGCTATATATTTTCATGCCATTAAACTTAGGGGGTAAATATTTTGGATGAAAACCCTAATGTGGGAAAGAGACTATAAGTTGCTGCCAATATCATTTTGACATCGGCTATTGATAATTTGACAAATGTGAACAATAAAATGAAATGAAAAGAAATGAAAAAATGAAATGTTAAGTCAGAGCATGGTGCTATTCGTTTAGTCGCTAAAAGTATCCGTAATAAAAAAAAAAGAATTCTAAAAACAATATGTAATAATACTATTATTTGCCATTTGAATTTGCATATGAATCGTTTATAATTCACTTATAGTTCTATACAAAAAGTCGGTTGAATTGCGTCACGACACATTTTATCGGAAAGCCGGGCCAATGTCAAGGGGGCATTGAACCCGCATCCTTGAAACATGCAGATATCGTAGATAAACATGCACTTTTTTGTTTTTCATCGTTGTTAAGTATATCTTCACTTATCGCGAATGCATTAATATCAAAACATCTTCAATGTAATATTTTAATTTTGACATTTAAACATCGAAACTTGAATTACGATACGCATTTGGAATGTAGTTTTCTATGCTTTAGGCAAAACTAGCTTTCGCCCGCGACTCTCTGCGTGGATTAAAAAACAAAAGTAGCTTATGTGTTCTTCCAGACTATCCATTAGATCTATACCAAATTTCAACGAAATCCGTTCAGCCGTTTAGGCTACAAACTCTAACAAACATCCATCCATCTAAATATTCGCATGTATAATATTAGCATAATCAAAAATATGAAAGTAAAAACCGTCGCCATTCTGCGGAAAAGTATGGAATTAACTCCTTTGATAAGAAATTGATATAATAGAGAAGCCTAAGTACCAGTATATGTATGTTCTAGGTTAGGCTATAACTATAGTACCTACACTCCAGTTATTAGATAAGACATTGCTCAGTAATGTAGGTCACGCGGTCTTGAAAAACAAGATTATAACTTAGCCACTGTCTAGCCATTGTATTTCACGAAATTAAAACTTGTTTGTTCAAATTAATTTATTTCTTTAACTTTAGTTTTTGCTATTTTGGAATATTAATATTATTTTTTGGTAGCGATGTAAATATTGTTTTTAAATACTAATATTCTAGTTTATTTTATCCAATTTAGTGTTATTCAGTTTTAATCGATTTGTTTTGTTTAAACAAACTTAATAGCGTAAGTTGAAAATAGCGCCATCTATGTTCAATAGTAGACATGACGTCCTTATACAAGGATTTACAAAATGTTTTATGTTCCACATAATTTCAATAGATAAAATAAATAACACGAATTTTGTCTCGCTTTGGGTTTCCACTGTCAAAATCCTTGAATTGTTTGTTATGCTATTTTTTTCAAAGTGTTAGAGAGGGATGACAATTTGTTTCTGTACAAACGTTTCTCGCAGTGGAAACCGCAGCTTAACATAGTGAACTACAAAATGTAAACGGATTATTTTGTATTTGTACGTTTTCATAGATTTATTGTAATGATATTTGAATGTCTGTCGCGCTTGAAATGTAATTGGTTTATTACTTATGACCGTGTTTTTGTGGATTTAATCTGTCCGCGGTTATTAGGCTTATTTAAATTTTACAGTTCCATTTGTACGTAAAATTTTCTGGGATTCGAACCTTCTAACAAATAGGTCACAACCATTTGAACATTTAGTACATTGTAAGATTAAGAAAAAAATTATAAATTCTACTACATTGTGCTACATTCATTTGTTTTAAAGAATATTTTAATGACGCCCTAATATTTAACCTTATGTAATAAGCAATAGAGTTCAATTTGCTTCAACCATTAGAATGTAGAGCACTCACGTTTGCAGGTGCAGATGATGTCCGCGGCGGGGGGGGAGCCGATGCTGCGCCGCGTCAAGCAGGAGGCCGAGCCGCCGCCCCAGTACTCGCCCGACCCACACACAGACCACCCGCTGCATCGTAGCGGGCATATGGTGCACGCGCCTCAGGTAAAATAATGTCACTTTCGAACTAGCCAAAGATAATGCCTCTATGGTTTATATCTCACAACCTTTCCGAATGTTATCAGTTTCCTATAACGGGAGTCTCTACTTAAAACGGTTGTCGCTGGTCAAGTGTTTCACGAGTAACTACAAAAGAACCAGTGTTCTTTTGTGGGTCAAGAACAGGGTGGTGATCCATCTGACACCGTGCCCGGATACAAACTGCGCGACACGTACGGATGCAGTTGCAGCGTCTATCTCTGAAAATCAATAACTAGGTTACAAGAACACACTAGTGCACCGGATTTAGGACTCAGTTATGTTGCGGACATCCTAGAAGTCTGTATGTGTTATTTAAAAAAATATTTTGATTATATTAGTGAGTTTAAAGTGAAGTTTTCTTTGCTAGAATATGTCTTATTGTTTTTATTAGCATTTTTCTATGACACTTCCGGTATTACTACTTAAAAGTATTGTTATCACATGCAATATAAGTAATTGTAGCTGTTTTAACATTATTTCTTCTAAGTTATTAATTTCTAAGTCGCGAGTAAAGCGGTAGTTAAAATAGGTATAATAAAACTATGCAATTTCGTGCGTAATTAATTTACGGAGATTGCAGTGAATGCGTGTAAGTCCGTCACTAAAATTTGTTTATCGATCTGTAAGTTGTCTGCATTTATATAAATGTATATGATATGTATTAAAGAATTCCTCTATATAGAGGAATTCTTTAATACATATCATTTGTTTTATTATTTAGTAGATGTAGAAAGAGATGGATGGATTGGGTGAAAGGTGACATGATCAGAAAGAGAGTAATGACTGATATGACGCATGAGAGTTATGTGGAGGACAAAAACCTGTTGTGCCGACCCTACCGGAGTAAGATAAGAAGGATGAAGATGATTGTTTTATTATTTAATAGAAAAGATTTCTCTTTCAATATTAAGATAGATAAAAACAACTTGTCTAGTGAATTTTTAAACGTATTTCGTTCCGAAAATAGTTCCTTGTATGAAGATTACAGGATACTGTCCATAAAGATTTGTAGACAAGAAAAATGCTCTAGTTACTATGATAAATGAAGTTATCATTGCACGTTGTACATAAAAAGAGCATATAACCTTACAAAGTACATATGTATTGAAATTACTTAATTTCAAATGTCTTGTAGCAATAATATCGTAGGCTTATTTTGTTGCGTAGCACGTAGCATTATGCTACGATGCTACTAAGTATTGTTATAATCCGCTGCTTTACTCGTGTTTATGTTAGTTTATAGTTAACAGTCTTTATCCTGGATTACGTTATACTTACATGTTATATGTGTTGACCTACATTGTAACTGAATACCTACACTTTGAATACAAATTGGATTTGATAATATTCATGGCTATGGCACGGTATTTGTAATTTTTTAGACTAATTGACGGTTAATGAAATACATGAAAATTATATTTATACATTACTTTCGCTCGCGACTCCATTTGCGTGGATTAAAAAAAATCATGTGTTCTTCCAGACTATCCTCTACACCTATTCCAAATTTCTTCGAGATTCCTCCAGTTTAGGCTACAAAATCTAACAAACATGTCTCCAACCGAAATTTCGCATTTATAATACGTGTAAGATTTGCAAATAGATGTAATGTAATATGTAACTAAATTACAGTTTTCCACCATCCAACAGTTGGAACTCGAGCCGAAGGAGGAGGTGAAATTCTGCGTGTCACCTGAGAGCGGGGCGGGGGGCAACGCGAGTCCTGAACAGCAGCACTGCTCGTCGACCACCGCCGCTGCGGCTGCCCGCGACGAAGACTCACCTCGACGCTTCTGTCTTGTATGTGGCGACGTCGCGTCAGGCTTCCACTACGGTGTTGCAAGTTGCGAAGCCTGTAAAGCCTTCTTTAAACGGACCATACAGGTTAGGATTGTGTTGAGGTTGACTTCTGTATGAATGTGTGCAGATTTACAGAATCCTGAAGCATTTTAATATGTTATAGCGTCTTCCATAATGAGGCCATGCGAACTCCAAATTTAATAAAAATATTGATGTCTATTTAGATCAAAGTTAAGTGGCCAATAAGATAATAACAATATAAAACTAGCTAGGTAGATAATTGTGCAATGGCTAATGTATGTGGATACGTCATCTATCATATACTTCTATACTATAATAAAGCAAACACACATTCTTTGTCGTAAGATAGCTGTTATTCTTGACTTTGTCCATTTGAAATTAAAAAAAACGTAGCCTAATTTACTTACTGATAAATTACCTTTCTAACGGTGGAAGAATTTTTGAAATTGGTCTAGTAGTTTTTGAGTTATTTCAATACATACAAAAGTACAAATCTTTCCTCTTTATAATATTAGTATAGATGTCAGCAATCACAGCATATTCTTTTACTAAATTTTAATTAAAAAAAAAAACATTTTTTTAATAAAAAGTCTATAACGTACTACTTGTTATAGGCTTTTTTACGCTATTTAATTTAGGGGTGAATAAATTGGAAAAAATAGACCTCTAATACTGAATCACGTGGATGAAGCCGCACGGGAACCTAGTCATCAAATAAAGGGGCTTCGTGAATTCACAGATGTTAAATTACCAGGGGAACATAGACTACACGTGCCCGGCGTCTAACGAGTGCGAGATCAACAAGCGGCGGCGCAAGGCGTGCCAGGCGTGCCGCTTCCGCAAGTGTCTGAGCACGGGCATGCTGCGCGAGGGCGTGCGCCTCGACCGCGTGCGCGGCGGCCGCCAGAAGTACCGCCGCGCGCCCGACCTGCCGCCGCCCGCGCACAAGCCGCACATCGACGACATCAAGGTAACACTACACTACACCACCCTCCACCACACTACAGCCCCCTCCACCACACTACAGCCCCCTCCACCACACTACAGCCCCCTCCACCACACTACACGCCCCTCTTTCACACTAATCCGTACTCCTCGTACAACTAACCTAACATGAGTTCCATGACCAAAGAGATTCGAAGCTATACAGAGGAAATATACTTGATACTTCATTTGAGTTAAGACATTTTTTTCTCATGATCCACTAACGCTGTCTATTGACGATAGGACTTCAAAACCACGTATCAATGTATTTAAATTAATTGCCAATAGATGTCACTAAAACATTTTAATGTTTTTTGATACTGTTTATTTATTAACAAAAGATGCTTGTTATAATTTTGTAAAATGTGTCACAAGGACATGAGATGGCGTACTATATTTGACAACTTACATAGTACCATTCTAAGAAGTTACCGGTGAAAAAATGTATTTCCTTACCTCTAGTCTAGATGTTTCTTAAATGTCTTTGTCCTTTACGGACTAAGCAACCCCCTCTATGAACGCTTTTGTAACACGAAACTGCCGCGAAGTATTTTTCGTAATGGTCTCAGAATTCATGCTTTAATTTCTCGATTACTGTCTAATATTCTCTTGTTAGTACCATTCGATTGGAATAGTTTTACGGTATAATGATTTCTAGATCCTAGAGGCGCTGTCGTCGTACGAGCCAGAGCTGCTGAGCTGCGGCGCGGCGCCGGCGGGCGTGACGGAGCCCGCGGCGCGCACGCTGGCCCTGCTGGCAGACCTGTACGACCGCGAGCTGGTCGGCGTCATCGGCTGGGCTAAACAGATACCCGGCTTCACAGAGCTACAGCTTAATGATCAGGTATCAACCATTTGCACGTTTTTTTGTACCTTTTTATTGGTGGCATACTAGGTGGCAAACGAGGTAACTTCGCCGACAAAGCGTCGCCGTCCCATAGACATCAATTTGTAATATACTTTGTATTTATAGACAACTTATTTAATTGACACTGTCGCTTTAAACTCAGAGCAACACTTCTCGTCAGGACTCAGGTTGCGCGCCAATCTATCCATACTTCTAGTGACATTGACAGCTGTCAGCTAGGGACGTGACGTTTATACCGATAATCTAGAGTTGCGCCAATTCTATAGCACAGTACTAATTTTATTCCTAACAGTATTAAAACTTTATATTGATATTTCGGATCTGTATATATTGTATTTATATTGTCATATTGTACTTAGCAGTAGTACCTGTCGTTTGTCTCTGTTATAAGTTTTATAAGCGAAAACTTTTTATTGGCTTTCAGTCAGTTTATAGTTACTTAGATTAGTTTAGGCTGTGAGTTTTGACAGTGGTAAAGCCCGTTTTAACATCTTCGCACTGTAGGGCCGGCTCGCTCGGTGTAATACCACGACTACACAGAAAACAGGCGTGAAGTGGAAGCAATTCCATGTTTCGTTTGATGAGTGTGGCGCTGGGGGTCTAATTTTAATCCCTTTCCCTTTCCACCCTTTTCTTAAGAGGAAAGTATGGGAAGAAAAAGTGGATTTAAGGGTGGAGGAGACGCATTGGAAGGGGAAATGTCCTCTTTATGTGAGTCTCCTCCTCCGTCAATTAAGACTAGGCAACGCATCTGCAATTGCGGATGTCTATGGGCAGTGGTCGCTTTCTATTTCGGATTCAGGTGGCCGCTTGCTCGTTAGCTACCTATGTTATATAAAAAAAGTGTTTCATGTATTAAATAAATGATGTGTGTCAGATGCGGCTGCTGCAGAGCACGTGGGCGGAGATGCTGAGCTTGATGGTGGCGTACCGCTCGCTGCCCGCCCCCGCCGCCGCCGTGCCCGCCTCCCCCGCGCCCGCCCCCGCCCCCGCCCCCCTGCGCCTGCGCTTCGCACACGACCTCGTGCTGGACGAACACACCGCGCGCGACATCGGCGCACTCGACCTCTACCTGCAGGTACACCATACACACCGCATCACCTCATCACTTCATCACCTCATCACCTCATCACCTCATCACCTCATCATTATTGTAAATAAGTTCATCACATTATCCTATTCATCAGGGTCGTACTGGGTTTTCGACCTCCAAGTAAGTATCATCCGTTCTATCACCACTCACTTCTAGGTTATAAAACCCTCAAAACACGGGCATACCCTAGCGTGGGGGTGATGGTATATTCGCAAAGCGATTGAGAAGAAATAGATAGTGTATGACAGGACAGTGTAGATTGTTATACTTTTGAAATAAATTAAATTTTTAACTTTTTAAATCTATCTATACAAGTGTACCTCAATACTGTAACTTCAACAATTTGTATTAACACTATCGCCTGGTTTGTTTAGATCAGCGGCGTGGCGCGGCGGCTGGAGCGGCTGGGGGCGCAGCGCGAGGAGTGCTACCTGCTGAAGGCGCTGGTCCTCGCCAACTCGGAGGCGCGTCTCGACGAGCACGCCGCGCAGAGGCGCTTCCGAGATGCTATACTCGCTGCGCTTAACGACGCCGTCAACGCGCTCAGGTAACACACACTACGAACAAGCGCTCCACGTATATGCAAAATATCGTACGTATACGCACAAACAACGCACGTATACGTACAAACAACGCACGTATACGTACAAACAACGCACGTATACGTACAAACAACGCACGTATACGTACAAACAACGCACGTATACGCACAATTACTTATAAGCAATACAAACTCGTGTAAAAATGTGTATGATTACGCACACATATGTGTACTACTACAACACTTTGCTTTTGTTTAAACTATGAAAAATTCAACTCAAGCATTTGGTATTTAACAAATAAAATGAAAGGTAATTGAAGTCTATAACATAAATTTGTACGCAGGCCATACAACGCGAACACGGCGCTGCAGCAGCTGCTGCTGTCGCTGCCGGCGCTGCGGCACGCGGACGTGGCCGTGCGCCGCTTCTGGGCCGGCGTGCACCGCGACCGCCGCACGCATATGAACAAACTATTCGTCGAGATGCTGGAGGCCTGTCTGCGGTAGGCGGGTCGACGCGCGCAGGGCTCAGCTTACACTGGTCACTGACACGGGATCACAAGTTATGTGACTAGACGAAGTTACGGACAAACAAGTTTGAACAAGGTTGTGTCGATTTGTTCTTCAAATGCTTGCTCGAAACTTATTATAATCTGTAGCAATTAGTGTACTCATTTTTTTATCTACCCGTAGCTTTTTTATTGTAAATAAGTTTCGCTTTGGGTTAAGCACCGGGTGGCAGGCGGGGCCGCGACTTTTTTTTTCATAAAAACATATCATTTTAGTAATTTTTATGCATTTAACGTTTCCCGAAGTTTCGAGTTGTGAGTGTTTGTGTATTATATATTTATATGGATATTTAGTCTGTGGTAATGTGGCTGTGAAGTGGCGGGAAGCGGAGTTCGGTATTTGAATTGACGTTTAATTTTAGGTTATGTTTTAAAATGATCGATAATTATCGCTTTGTGTTTGATATTTTTTATAACAATGTCTATTTTTTTTATTTTAATTTCATTATATGAGTACATTTATGTTATTTTTTCCGAAAGCGGTTGTAGTTTTTTTCAACAATTTTTTTTAAGTCATATTTAATAGTTTTTTTTGGTATTTGGAATTCCCGTCGCGTCCCCGCGCCGTAAATGTACAAAATGGACGGACCTAGTACAAAACTTGTTACTATTTTTGTATTATATTAAAAATATGTAGTTTTTACTTCCCGTTATATCGTATCACTTGAAAATACCTCGATAATAAATCTTAGTGATAAGACAAAGTATAATTGTTTATAAAACATTACAAAATATTATAAATTTGTAAGACATTTTTAAATTTTATGAACTGTCGACATATGCAATAGAAAATAAATTATTTTTACAACGAAATAAATGTTATTTATCAAGAAACAAGATTACTGCCTCAATGAAAATCTACCTCTTAAATGTCTAAAACAGTTAACAAGTAAACTTATGTGAATAGGGAATATGCATGTATTTTATTTCTTTTTTAAACGATTCTACTAAATTCTAAAAAATTGACGCGAAAATATTCAACCATTGAGCTAAAAAAACATACAGACGAATTGAGTACCTCCTTCTTTTGGGAAGTCGGTCAAAAATAATAAAATGAAATTACGACCATTTTCGAGCGACTAAAACGCGACCGGAGTTGTCAATAGACAATTGACGTCAATCTTCTTATTCCATTCATAACATACGCTCAGATGTCACTTCGACGTAAAAAAAACAACAGCTTCTCAAGGTCAAAAAGTCAAAAATCGATTCATTTTTATTATTCCTGGAACAAATAATTTTATTTTAAAGTTGGTTTTGATATCGTGTAAAAAAATGAAATATAAATCTATTTGTAATTTATATACTGAGTATATAATATATTGTACAAATAATGCAATTTTATTCAATATGTTTATATCTATAAAACATTACAATTTGAATTACACAATGCATTTTTGATCTCATTCTGCCATCATAAAAACAAAACTTTTGCAAACCATCCTAAATATTTTTCATTGTATTATTTACGAGCAATAATTATATAAATAATATTTAAACACTACATGTATTTATTAAATATGTAAATGCTTAGATTTCGTGTAACGGAATAATCAGTGTTGCCAGTTTAAATAAATAGTATCTGATATAAATTTTTTTTTAAAACTGACATTTGTTTATCTTTTTAACCAACTAAGGTTCTCAATTCAATCTGCAATAAAAAACGACTGGCAAGATTATGACATTAAGACGTTTTGTCTCTGTTTTGTCGAAGAAAATGAAAGAGATGCAATACGGCAGTAGAATATAGTATATGCTAAGCATTAACACGTGGAATAGTATTATATACCTCACCTGTTACCATCTCATTGAAACATATATATGTTATAAAAATATTTTTATTATAAGAAATATCGCCCAATATATGAACATATACAATCCTAAGGTAAATTTTATGCATTTTGTAAATAATTATAAATTTATTGGTCGGTTTATGCTTTGTTACATTAATTATATGAATTTTTATATATATTTCACTGAGCGAACTGATCTTTACAAATATATACTTTCATCTCTCTTACTCTGTTATAAAGGAAAGAGATAGAAATATGTATTCGTGATTGAAATCCATATTATTTGTAAAATCACTTCTGGTGGTTCTAAAAAAAAACAAAATAACTTATGACAACTGAAACTTAAAGTTGTGTGTTTATCACGATTTTTAGTGAGTCAGGATTTTATATTTTATTGTAAAAGTAACCTAAAAGTTTACATTTTCCAGTAAGATGCGTTTCGTTTTAGGTTATTTTTTTAGTATATTCATGTTTATTTATAGTTTTTGTGTAATGGAATATTCTAGAGCGGTCTGGGAATGTCTCAGGTGTGACGTAGATGTGCCAGATTAGGTGTTAAGTGTTTATATTTGTTAATGTTGTGTTACAAGATGGCGGACCATTTTGGCGGTAAAATTTGTTTCCTATTCAAATAATTTAGATTAAATCCTGGTTAAATTCATCGATGTTTAGTTAGTTCCTATTGTTAACTGAAGTTACATTTCTTTCACTATTGTTATGTATTTTAATTGAAATGGAAACAAAAAGAAAATATAAAAATATGTGATTTGTAAAGAGAATCTATGTTATACTAAAGTTTGTAAGGATTAAAGTGTAGTTTGTAAATTTGTGATGATATGCGGTAGCGGTAGTTATTTGTACCCTGTAGCGTTTTAACATCAAAACATGTTGTACAACCTGAACGTTGTGTCTTATTTTAATGTAAACTCGTACCTTCTTGTTTATACAATGTTATTTATAATGTCGACCGGTCCTTAAGATATGTGAATTAAATTAAAAAAATTGGAAAAAATGCATTTTTATTTACAAATTCACCTAAACAGGTTTTGGTGCGTTCCACGGAGAATCCGGAACCCTCTTCTATTACACTAGAGGCTGGATAAATCATATCATCAAGCTAAAATATCCTTATCAGAGGCTCTACAGCCAGGGGTGGGCCAGGGCCTGGTCCAGTAAATTTCTCCATTTCGGTATATTTTGAGCTTCTTGCCAGCCCTTGACGCCAATATTTTTAAAATCTCGTTCGACATCTAGCTATCTAAGTTACTGGCTCTCGCGTGATCTACGTCCCTCTGCAGTCACTCATCCTCGCTATATGCCCTGTAGCCGATCAATTTTGGACAAACCACACAAAACCCTGTCTTTATTTATGTCAATTTAAAATACCAATAGTGTACAATAAAAAAAGATGACATTATAGTCATGGTAAAGCCAATTATAGGTTTTTACATTTGAACGTATAAAGTATCATCATCATCATCTCCTTATCCTACTCCCGTAGGGTCGGCGTAACAGGTTTTTGTCCTTTTTTTTTTATAACATAAGGTGGCAAACGAGCGAGCGGCCACCTGGAATCGCCAAAATGGCGAAGCGACCGCTGCCCATGGACATCCGCAATTGCAGATGCATTGCCTACCCTTATACGACGGAGGAGGAGACGCACATAAAGAGGATATTTCCCCTTCCTATACATCTCCTCCACCGTCAAATCCACTTCCTCTTCCCAACCTCTCCTTATAAGAAAGGGTGGTAAAGAGAAAGGGACTTAAATTAGGCCTCCGGCACCACATTCATCAGACGAAACACGGAATTACGTCCATTTCACGCCTGTCTTCTGTATGGTCGTGGTATTACACCGGGCGTGCCGACCCATTCGTGCTAAGATGTTAAAGCGGGCACTACCACTGTCAAAACTGTCCTCCACATAACTCTATCATACGTCATCTCAGTCATCACTCCCTTTTTGATCATGTCACCTTTTACACAATCCATCCATCTCTTTCTAGGTCTACCTCTACCGATGTACCCTTCCACACTCATAACTAATGTTCTTGTAACATGCGATTCTTCCCTCCTCATAACATGCTTATTTTTTACTCCTTACCTTCTCTACTACGGGGCTACTCTCAAACTTCCTCTAATATACTCATTTCGTATCTTATCCATTCGTGTTACCACGTGTTATTCGTGTGTGTTAAAGTATAAAACAATATAATACAATTAATCATCATTACAGCTATACGTCGTGTCGTAAGTAGGGCTTTTTATTAAAATATGTTGCGATTGCTGATATCCTACGTCACAATAATGCATGTATGTTTACGCTTTATATTATCTTTCAAAGATTTCATCCAGATACCAAATGAATGGGTTCAAGGTTCAAGTAAACACATTTTAATTCAAATATCTTTATTGCCTTAAAGTCTATATACAAATTATATTTAAAAATTAACTTATAACCGGTGTTCAGTGTATGCTAGACGATAGCGAACTGTTCGTACAACAACTCCCGCACTTTATAGTACTCCTCCGACAGCACTCCCTCCAGCGCCACGCGGCCATTCTCCAACTGAAAAATACAGAGACTCTTCAGCGCGAAATAAAAATATACTAGCCTATGTTCTAAGGTATATTTATTTTTTTACGAGATCCGTTTAGTCGCTGTGGAGGTAATTAAAAAAAATCATGTCTCCAAACTCAATCAAGATAATTACAAACAACAACTTAAAAAAATGAGATCTTATGACAGAAAATGATGTTAGTTTGCCAGTCTAATAAAGTACAGTATGGTGTGTACAGTGTACAATATGTAGCGTGTACTGTGTACAATATGTAGAGTGTACTGTGTACAATGTGTAGTGTGTACTGTGTACTGTGTACAATATGTAGCGTGTACTGTGTACAATATGCAGAGTGTACTGTGCACAATGTGTAGTGTGTACTGTGTACAATATGTAGCGTGTACTGTGTACAATATGCAGAGTGTACTGTGTACAATGTGTAGTGTGTACTGTGTACTGTGTACTGTGTACAATGTGTAGTGTGTGGTGTGTACCCGGCGTATGGCGACGGTGCCGCTGCAGCACTCGAGCGCGCCGCCGCTGAACTCTGCGGGCAGGCCGGCGCGGGCGAGCGCGGCGCGCAGCTCCGACAGCCGCAGCGAGTTGATGAAGGCCGCGCCGTGCGCCGCGCCGCACCGCGCGCGCTCCAGCGACATCATCTCCTCCTCCTCCGGAGAACCCTCTGAGTTCAAAAATTTATAGCAATGTTATCCTGCCATATGACGTCATACGTCTTCCGTCTTAGCGTGTCATGTAATTAGAATATGTGCCACGATATATGTACAGCAGCGATATATTGTGACGTCATATTTCAATGCAAATATCAGTAAAATGGTTAATTTAAAATAATCACTTGTTATTTACATGTCTTTTATACTGTTTTATGGCATCTTGAGAAAAATAAGGTAAAAGTAACTCTGTCTATATCAATATTTCTTAGATTGATGACATTGATCCGCATATTCCTGTAAAACCATGAGGAGGAGGTAAAACTACTTTGTTTTTGGCCACATATCTTCCGTAGACATTTGTTAATTAATTACAATGTAAATATCATAGTAACCTGTGCCTGCGTCAGTAGTGCGCGTGCGCGGCGCCACGACGGCGGAGAGCCAGGCCAGCTCCGCGTCGCCCGCGCTGCGCCACGCCAGCCCGCTCACCAGCGCGTCCGTCAGCTTCACCTGCGCCACCACACCACACGTTACATACTACTGTCACCCGCACTTTATCTAAGGGGACGAGCTGATCTAAGGGGGACAATCGGATTTAAGGGGGACAAGCGGATTTAAGGGGGACAAGCTGATCTAACGGGGACAAGTTGATCTAAGGGGGACATGGTGATGTTTTAGGGGGACACGCTGATAATATAAGAAGGACAAGGTGATGATCTAAGGATGGCAAGCTGATGATTTAAGAGGGGAGGTAGTCAAAGGTAAGGAAGGTCTATGATGAAGTGGGGCCGATAATCAAGGAGCTAGTCGTAAAAATTCTTTTTTTTTTCAGTTCAAAGAGAATAAGAATTGGTTTTTGAGTTATTTTTGGTTTTTAGGGGTTGTTAACACCTTACTATGAATGAGTTTATATTTTTATTTTACATTTTTCGTCTCTAGAGGGGTCGGCAGCTAAAACATCTGTAAAGACGAGGATATTTTCTCAACAAACCTGGTAAATATGAGACTCGGTGGTAGCGTCGATTGTATCGCCTTTGTTAGGTGTGAACACTTTCTCTATTCCTTCACTCTCACAATGTTTACTGCAAAATATATACATAGAAATAGTTAACTAACGTATTTCATGTGATAATCGGTCAATTGAAACCTGTATTTAATTAGCGATCCTCAAACTTTTGTTAGCGCGAAATTTTCCCTTCAATTTTATTATTTGTATGGATTTAACGATTTTAGCTCTGGAACGAATCATTAAATTTCCATATTAATATCGATTAAGCGATTGGACTATCGATAGATTGAATGACATGCTAGGTGTAGGTTTCGCCTTTTTGGAGAACTAAAAAAAAGTGTATTTCAACCAAAGATACAGGGAACAGCATTTATACACCGGTAACTTCTTTGTACGGTGTCTTATTTGGCGTTATTTTTATAATATAAGGTGGCAAACGAGCAAGCGTCCACCTGAATCCACCGAAATGGAAAGTGACCGCTGCCCATAAACATCTACAATTGCAGATGCCTTGTCTACTTTCAATTTACAGAAGAGACGCACAAAAAGAGGACATTTACCCTTCCTATGCGTCTCCTCCACCGTCAAATCCACTTTTCCTTCCCATCCTTTCCTCTCAAGAAAAGGGTGAAAAGGGAAAGGGACTAAATTAAGGCACCGGCACCACACTCATCAGACGAAACGCGGAATTGCTTCTACTTCACGCCTGTTTTCTGTGTGGTTGTAGTATTACACGGAACGAGCCGTCCCTACAATGCAAAGATGAGCGGGCTTTGTCACGTGGAGACGCTTCTCAGTGTTTAAATCAGACACCAGATAGTAGTGAGAAGTGAAGTGTGAAGTGTGAAGTGTGTTTCCTGTATATATTTTTGTATCTCTTGTTGCGACGTACGCGAGCGTGTGCGCGGCGTGCGGGCGCGCGCGCAGGGCGACGATCGCGCGCGGCTTGGCGTGTGCGACCAGTCGCAGCAGCGAGTCGCCGTCGCAGCGGCCCTCCAGCTCCACGTACTGCACGGCGGCGCGCACCGCCACCGCGCGGACACCGCTCACACATTTACTGGGGATCTCTATCATTTCCTCTGAAACAATAAAAAAGAATAAAAAGTGTGATTATACCAGTCTTAATAGGTCCAGTCTTTCTGAAAATTTATATCTATGCAAATAAAATGAATCATAAACACACTTTGATTAAGAAGTCAGCAAATCACAGCACATTTTTGAATTACGGTTATTTCCTTACTTACTAATATTATAAATGCGAAAGTTTGGATGGATAGATGTTTGTTAGAATTTGTAGCCAAAACAGCTAAACGAATCTCGATGAAATATGGCACAGATAGAGTCGCGGGCTATAGCTAGTAGGCTATATATTTACACGCTATTTAAATTCAATATATCAAGCTATTTAAGGGGCGAAAAAAATGGGTTTGTCCTGTTGTGGCATGACATATTTAATTTTTTCAACAACTACGAGCCAAAAGCAGCAAAGAAGCAAGATTGTCACGGTATTTCATTTAGATATTTGCCAATGAAAGTTTTAAGGAATGTAAACAATAAAATAAAGTTTTGTAAGGACGCCTTGTGCGTTTTCATTCTTACAAAGTTTTGTTTGATATTTTTAAAAGCTAGTGGTTTATAACTGAGTGTACCATCAGGTTCCTGTTTCTGCGGCGGCGCGGGCGGCACGTCTCTGATCTCCCCCTCCGCATCCACTATCTCCGCCAGTCTGTAGTCTTCCGGCTGTAAACATAAAAATCATAAATGTTTTTGCATAACTTCCAAACTCTTTACATATAATTTCGAAACGCACTTTATAGTTGAAAGAAAGGAGAAATTATATTTACATATTTTACTGGATAATGTAACGGTTCGACTCTAAATTACATAACCGAAACACAGCTTTCATATCGCATAAATACGAAACACGGTGTACCGACTATTTAATCTGAAGGTGTATAACTAGTAAACGCAGTGTGAACATTTATAATCGGGAAACGCAGTAAAAAACTTCGAAACGCAGTATAACGACAATTATAATCGGGAAACGCAGTATAGCTTCGAAACGCAGTATACCCGTATAATCTCTCCGTAGTCGTCAGCGCGTGTGCGTTCCTCGTGAAAGGGGTACATGGCATGGTGCCGCTTGTTGGTCTTGAAGCAGCCGGTGGGGCGCGTGTCGTGTCGCACAGGCATGTCATGTCTGCCTGTCACCACGCACATCTCTAATTCACCTTCGGACTCCGAGTCGGACGAAATGCCGCCAACGTCCTCTCTGAAAAAAAAAACAAAGATATAAAGATTTTATTCAAATGGAACAAAAGAGTAAGAGGGTTTTGAAGAGTACGGACTTAAGTTAGTATAATAGAGTGTATTAGTTGCACATTTTAGTTTTTTTACTATTATAATGTTTCTAAGATACGAGTTTCTTACCACGATTGGGTTGTTTCTTACCACGAAGGCGAGCTAAAACAACCCAATCGTGGTAAGAAACCCGTATCTTATGAACATTATAAGTGTAAAAACCACGACAGTTTAAAGTTATAGTTTTTTTTACTTCACTACTACACACTCTGTTTACTTCAAAATGTTTAAAGCGACTTAAGGAATAAAAAAAGTCTGTAAGACCTGGACAGAGGTTTTGATAGCAGGAATCAGAATAAATAGGATACTAGAGTAGATTTAAAATTAAAAGAACGGTAAGCGTAGTTTCTAAGTGATTATTAAAACAACTAAACTCACTTATCAATATTGTTAATCTTCATCCGCTGCTGCTGCAGGAAGTCCTCCAGTTCCGCACCTTCCAGCCGCACGCGCTTCTTCACCGTCAGCTCGATGGTCCTATCTCCACCCTTGTCTATCAGATCCCGAGCTAAGGTACCTGGAGATGTCCTGAAAATAGTATAACAAACTAAGTAACCAATAGCAATAAGTTAACGGCGCGGGCGTTGCTAGCTAATGGTTTAGATTAGATCTATAAAAAAAAATATACTCGTATGAAAATTTACTTTACAAGAATGGTTTTTCTTTGTGGTTCTAGCAGTCTAAAAGTTACTTAGTTATCGACTAGAAAGTTTTCAAAATATTCCTTAAAGTGGTAACTAAAATGTGTCATACCTGGCTGTTAGTACAATTGAGTTCAAATTATTAGAAGCCCATTGCAAGAAGAGGTCTCGTGCGAAGCCTGCCTCTAGGTCGGGGAAGGAGGCGAGCACCACCTTAGGCCCTGGAGTCCTGGTGACCTCGGCCACTGAGTGACAAAGCTGCAGATGGCGGAGGGCGAAGGGGTTGCTACGAGCGCCTTCGAACGCACGAGTCAATTTATCGCTCATCCATTCTATCTGTTAAATTGAAGAGTTAGAGACCGGGAACTTCTTTAAGTACATAAAATAACGTTTTAACAATTCCTACCTGTGATTTAGCAAACTCCAGCACATTATAACTGACATTAGAGAGGAGGAGAAGGGAATATGCCACCAGCCCCGAGTCCTTGTTGCGCCATAACTGGTCCAGCATGTGGGCAAGCTCTAGAACCCGGCCTGCGGTGTCCGTACAGACCAGCACTGAGCCACCACCCCGAAGAGTACTAAGAATGGTCGCTGAAATATATAAATGAGTCTTGATTGCTAATAATAAGAAAGAAATAAGAAACATGGAAATGAGAACAGAACATGGTGTATGTATTGAATAAGATAATGTTTTAAAATAGTAAATAGTTTATTACTAGCTTTTGCCCGTGACTCTGTCCGAGTCGAATTAAAAAAACAAAAGTAAGTAGCCTCTCCATCTACACAAAATTTGAATGAAATCAGTTCAGCCGTAGACTACAAACTCTAACAAACATCCATGCATCCATCCAAACTTTCGCATTCATTATTAGTATGATAAAAATATATACTCATTAATTTCTCATCTCGCAATCTTCTTCTCTGCTGTACATAATCTGCATTTGCTGCTCCGAGTAGGAGTAACGATGGTCGCATGATCTTCTCTATCTCACAGCCATTGAGATGCCGTTCTTTCTTATGATTGAAGTCAGGTGCATACACAATATCCTCTTCACCAGGAGCTACTATCCTCCAGACTGTGCCACCAAGGGAATGTCCGGCGGGAATCGGTGTAATCCTTAAGCCATGGCCTTTGCCTGAAAAATACATTAATGCCTAATGTTATAGTCTATTGGGTCAAAAGATAAATATTTACTTTTGGCTATGGTTAATGTTGTATACAAGAATACAGTAAAAGTAATAGTCAAGAAGGGTTAGGGTGAAATATTTCAGTATTTTAAGTATGTTTAAGATGATCTTAAAAATTGGATCTTTTTATTTTTATTTCTAGTATTTTTAAGTATGTAAAATAATCAAAATAATATGGAAAACGATACCTTTCATGTCAACACTTTGATTGTATTTTAACTGTGTAATTCTATCGAAAGCAGCATCAACATCATCGAGGGTGAAGAGATCAAAGTCTGACACATTCCTGTGAGCCTGGTATAGATCGTACATGAACATCTGTCCCATCTTGTACACCGGGAGTGTTGCATAAATGGGACAGGTCAGTCCCAACTGTCCCACTGCATATGGTAATGCACCAAGATGGAGAGGATCCGAATGTGATAGCAGTACAGCATCTATACTATTGACATGTCTGAAATATTTGTAAACATAATAATGCATTGAGAGTACTAATTAAACAAAATTTTACAAATATTTTGGGAAATATACGCTAGTTTAATACTAGCTTAGTTGTTAACATGGCAGTGAGTGTATATTTATTTGTTTTTCTCAAACAATTGCTAGTGAACCGTAGGATTACAAATTTTATCAGATGTTTTACTGAAAATATACAAAAACATAACCTCAAATACTAACCTTTTTAATTCTTTTATAAAATCCATATCAAACTTTTCATCCCAGCCGCAATCCAAGAGGAACTTAAATTCATCTACTTGCAGCACATAACACGGTGGAGATTCGTCTCCGGCTCCGGAGAGGCAGTATAACTTTATAATAGACGTCATCTTTCTATTCAATTTTATAGTAATTCTAACACATGAACTACTTTCGATACAAAACTTTTAGCAATTCAATTTCATGATGTAAGGTTTAAATTGATTTTTCGAACCAAATAAAACTAATAAATCGTAAGAAAAGTTCTTGTTTATATCCTTTTACTTTGACAATGACATTTGACAAAGAGTACATACAACTAAATACAGGATTAAAACCAAAGAGTAAAAGGTATTTTTTTTCCAATTACATTTTAATAACAGTAAAGTTTAAACTTGATTAACTTATAATTAAATACTAAAACACTGCCGTGAGAGTGGGTTTATGTAATTTTGTGGTCAGATTATATTGTATCTGTGAATTCCGGTGGCCACGATACAGGCATTGCCTAGTGTGGCCATCACCAGATAAGCTAAGCTAGAATAACTTAAAATAACGACTATTTTTATCTTCCTGTTATGTATAATTTTAAGGTATTGTCAAAGTTATTTGTTTTGTACAATCTTTTTGGTTTAATAGATATTTTCATTTCATTTTCATTTTTCAAAAGGTATTCATAAGTTTATTTTACACAGTTTACAATAATAAAACACTTTCAATCCTTAATTTTCTTTAAGATATCTGACAAGAATTGCTTTACTTCATCTTCGATCTGCATGTCATTAAAAGTTTGAATAGGTATAATTACCCCTTTACATTGCCTATGTGTATCGTGATCGGTCTTCACGGGTGTAACGGAAACATGTAATTTTTTGTTCAATGGAGTAAGAGGATGAGGGTTTGAACGGGTGGAAAGAAATGTATCTCTCATATCAGGATACAGTGAACGTAGTATCACAGGTTTGTCCATTTCATCCACAACAATAAACGGTCGCCCTCGTTGTATTTCGTGTCGAACTCTAACGGCTTCTTCCAATCTCGCTTCATATTCAGCTTGTATAGTATCTGCATCTTTTTCTGCCATTCTTCTTATTCTTTCTTCGATTTTTGCGTCTGTAAAAGTGTTTATTGCTTTCTCAGTCGGGTTCAAACTGATCTCGCAAGAGGCACAAGTAAGCCGAATCTTGTAGGAGGTCGCTAAACAGATAAATAATTTTTTTTATAAAAAAAAATTACCATTATATTTCATTACAGCATAGTTCAGCAGCAATATAGAAACGTATATTACAATTACTATAATCATATAGACCCACCATTCCCCACGTAGCAACTGATCCTGTAACAAGAGATTGGACCAAAGAAATGGAGTCAGAAGAGAAGATATAAAATATTGAATGGGACGTTTTACATTTTTTTTACTACTTATAATCATGATAATTTTGTCTTACCCAAGTTAACATGGTAGATATTGTTAAAAATTTCTATTTCACTGTAACCTTGGCTCATATTATTTTCCGAAATTTATTCTTACATTCACAATGTCATTTGATTTTTGACATACTAAGACTTTTTTGACATTTAACCTCAAAGAAGAATTTTCAATGTCAATTATTTTTTTTTGTTACCTTTTTACTTAAGAAACTTTTTTTAATAATTCATATAGTTGCAACAGCGAGACATGATTGATAAAGGTAACCTTTGCTTATAAAAGTGGCCGTTTCTTGGGTTTATGTCGTGTTTTTCGAGTTGTGGATATTTAGCTCAAAACAGTGCCAGATAAAATTTTTATGTAACAACACATTTGTGGTGTCAAACATTTGTAGGTAGCCCGATATTTTTTTATTCTCCCGCACAAGTGGGTGGTAGAAATTTCTCATCGGTTTGGTCGGTCGAGGGACCAGCGGGGAATTGTGCGGGAAGGGCAGTGTGTCTGCTGTTGAAGGTTAGCGCTTGAGGTCATCGGAAGATAGCTAATGGAAATTGAGAAGGACACATAGGACGTGTTGGTTTTATAGCGTAGATGGTCTAATAGTAAGTTGTGCCGCCGCCGCCTCATTATACTGTCGGAGTTTACATACGAGTAAATAACCTCCATTTACAACCGCATCTACCGCGTCTGTTATTAATAGTTAACTAAAATGCGCTGCCTAACAGGCTAATAATGTAGAATTATTACTTTAAATTACTAAAGTTGACAGCACTAGTAAACAAACAAAAATCACGCCAATACTAGAGCGGTACGTGGATTCCTATCGGGATAAATCTGCACTGTCATTCCTCACAGAAAGAACTTTATCAGTCAAACTTGAATGTCAGACCTTTACTTGAGCCAGAAGATATTTCAAGCCTTTACTGAGCCAGAAGCCGTATTTTATCATTGCAAGCGAAACTTAAAGTTCTTCGTAGATGCTTTCTAAACAGTTTTAACGTAAATCGCGCTTAAAAACCTCTGCGTGCAGTAATTGTAGATAAGACTTCCCTTGTAAGTTATTTAGATTACAGTAAATACTTTGTTGTTTCAATTTATGATCTGGTTTTTTTTTAAATATTTTTTTAAACATGGCGCTGTCCGATGATTGGCGAAACCTTGATCACGGTATTAACAAAAACGATTCATAAAGCAATTTTATTGTTAGTTAGTATCAAATTTGTATAAGTAAGCGGTTTTTTTTGCTATCAATGCGTAGTAACGATATAGGCTCACGACTATTGCAATAAATGAAGCTGGAAACACACGCCATTCATCTCCGCGTTCCCGCGGTGTGGTGGTTTTTGCAATGGCTATCGTAGCCCATTTGGGCACGCATCCTCTCTGAGAATTACGTGTGAATATGTCGTAATAAATTTACGTATTTAAAACAACAGACTTTTGACCTGAGATATACCTTTATTCGAATACTAAATAATCTTTTGCAATGCAATTTTCATAAAAAAGGTGGGTAGTTTAAGAAAAGTTTCACACTACTTGTGTTAAAAAATTTCACTTTTTTCGGACTGTTTTGTTCATATAAAATGCTCCAGCTTATAAATTAAATTAATAATAAACAAAAGGCTGTGCTCTTTTATTTCTTCTAGATAAACCGCTCGGAACCGGTTCAAACCGCACGAGAGTCTCATTATTTCTTAATCTCAGTTTAACGAAGCGCGCCAGATTACCGGCGCGGGATGTGAGACGATGTCTGAAGTAAAATTTAACGACAGTTTGAACGAGCTGTATTGTATTGTACAAAATATGTTACATTTTCTTCATATCTATAGCTGTTATCATTCCTTTGTTATACTATGTTCCAGTTTTCATCATCAGGTTTCTGCATACTTTTTTAGCTTTGATAAATGATTATTCGGTCGCTAGCTTAGTGGTTTAAGCATGTGACTCGTAATACATATCTCGGGTTGGAATCCCGCCACGTACCTTACCTAATTTTCATAAAAAGAGTGAAGCGCCACCACAACTAAAATCAAGGTCACCAATTACGTAGGAAATTAAATGTAATCTAAACTTAAGAAAATGTAATGTAAATTGTAAAACGTAAACAAATAAATGGACCGACAAGGTCTCTGACGATCAGGAAGTCAGGGGTGACATGGGAAAAAAAAAGCCTAATTTGGGTTAAGCTCCGAGCCAGCTTAGTAGGGATATATAGTGAGGTGGTAATGTGTTTATAGCTTTCGATAATCGTGCGCCATCTCTTATTAATTTTGTAAAACGTTAACAATTTAATTATAAACTTTAATTAAACTCTGTACATAATTGCTTCTATAAGTTATTACGTGTATATTAGTGTTATTTAAACAAACGGAACAACGGACGAAACTAAATTAGCTGCGCAGCTGCACGTGTTTACGCTGACAGCAACGAATTTGCATTTGGCGCACAGAATAATGTTTTTGTTAGCAATTTGCGGGTAGGTGAGATTTAGCTGATTCAGTTATGCTGTTGAACTGATTATCTATGGGAAAATAAATCCTATTTACTGCTAATATAGCTCTTATTTATTTAATTGTGACTTTAAGACACTAAATCAATTACTGGCATGATTACCTTAATTTTTTTTAACTGATGAAAATTTACTAATAGATTAGTGATATTAAGCCGAAGTTCACAATTCTTCATCATCATCATCATCATCACCAGCTCTCTATACGTCTCCACTGAGGGGCTTGGAGCTTACCCTGATAGGGGTTGACTAGGCCGTAGGCAACCACGCTGGCCCATTGCGAGTTGGTTGACTTCACACATATCTTTGAATTTCTTCGCCGATATGTACAGGTTTCATCACAATGTTTTCCTTCACCGTAAGAACGTCACAATCACAATCAAAATTGGTATGCTATATAAATTAAAACATCTATAATATAATAGAACTATTTACGACATATGAAATGTTCACAAAAGGGGTGAGTTAAATATGGTCGTAACAACGGGTTGGCGATTACATTGCAAAATGTTGTCGTTTTATGATATCATGTAGGATGTTGTGGAAGTTAATATGATTCCACGTTTGAGGGCTCTTTATTACAGCGATGTAATGTGTCTTTTAACCTAATGTTGTGTGTTTTATATTAATACCTCAGTAATGTTGTATTTGTATAAAGTTTTAAAATAATCTATTCTTTATCTCGTTGATCTAATACGAGACATTTTGCTTTAAAGTACTCCTCCCGTAGTAACCACACTTATTTACTTTGTATGTGTTTTATGGTAGTTCCATTGCGGCATCATGCGTGCACAATTTAATTAACCATGACGACCTTGATTCTTTGCTGCTTTTGGCTTGTTTTTATTTCTTTCTCGCAGAGCATTTTAATCCAATTTATTCATACCCAAAGTGCAAAAGCGTGAAAGTATATGGCTTAAAGCGTATCGTAAGTAAAGGGTTTTTTTTATTAAAAAAAGATTAATTAAAAATATGCTGTAATTGCTGATATCCTGCATACAAAGAAGTGTGTTTACGCTTTATTAGTATAGATTTGGTGACAAAAGTTTCAAAGGGTCTGCTTAAGTAATCCTACAATGGCCTCGATCGTGACACTAAGGAAATACCAATTACAACGTACGTAAATATTCCTACTCATTTGCGAATTGCAAATTGCATTGAGCTGTCGCGACGTCTACTTCAGACACCGCTCTTTCCGTTTCATACGTTCACGTGTTTGTTTTCATTTGCAAATTTAACATAAACGTAGAATTCTTGCGATACTAGTATCAATGTATTTAACGCTTTGTTAAACAAAATGAATGGCAACATTTTTGAACATATAGCAGTAGAAGACAACGGTTCATCATCATCAGCCATAGGTCGTCCACTGCTGAACGTAGGCCTCCCCCATTGATTGCTACAATGCCCGGTCCTGTGCCGCACGCATCCAGTGCACTCCCGCAACCTCGACTAAGGCAACGGTTATCATAGGATAATGTTGATATTTATTTTTGACCGACTTCCCAAAAGAAGGAGGTACTCAATTCGTCTGTATGTTTTTTTTATGTGTGTTACGGCATAACTCCGCCGCTAGTGAACCGATTTTGGTAAAAATTTTTTTTTCGAAAGGTAATGCTTGCATGTGGGTCCCATTTTTTTTATTGATTTTTGGAGTCAAAGACTACGACGTAGTTAAATAGTTTAGCTCAAAATCGCGCGACGAAATTTAGGGTCATTTTTACGTCGCCTAATTATATATTAAATAAATAGTTACACAAAATCTAGTACTATTAAGAACAATCTTTAGCCAACTACAACTAGAACGGTTGTTGATGGCCACATTAGAATAATTCCTAAGCACTCGTGAAAGTGGAAAATGGGGGCATTAATTTTCTTAATTTCAGCAGGACGCTGCGGTCCGCCTGATAAATTGTCTCGCCGCAATTAGTGGCTGCGAGCCAGTGGGAACTGGGTACTGGGAACTGGGGACAGTAAAGCATATATTTTAATTGCTCACATCCTCCGTATGTTCTCGAGAAATGGCGCACACGGAGAGGACAGCTGTAGAATTCACAAGAAGTTCTATGCATTTATAACAGTTAGTACTATTGTTATTTTCTGAAGATTTTATATGTTAATGTAATATTTATTGTGTAACGTTCATATATCTTGTATATTTCGCACTATTACTTTAAACTTTTAAACTAAACCATACTGAACTTTAAAACAAGTATCCTGCCGACTGCGCCATGTTGAAGGGCGGGAACACGTAATAAAACGACAAGCTTCAGATGCAGACTGATTTATTTAGACTTTGTTTATGAGTACCCTAAACATTTACCCATACCGACAACTGTGTCATTCAGAATTTAAACTTTGCAACGGTTTAATCATCAGATGGAAATGTAGAAATTCTACAAAGGACTAATGTCAATTAAAATAAAGGTTATACCAAATTAAAGAAAAAGAGTTTATACAATCTGTACTTACATTTATAAAGAATTTGTTACAAAACTGTATATTGCAGTGCGGCAAGTCGAGCGAGAGCCGCGTTATCTGCGAGTTGCAGTTGACAAAAGTTTGTCGTTCAGGATTACCGTGTTTGTATAATTTCTAGTCAAATCAGCTAAAACAAATGCTCATATAAAAATAAAATATTTCAAACGCTGATGTAGGTTTACTTAATTCAAGTTCTAGTGGTGTGTTTAATAATTTTATTATGGATTTCTAGAAATATAAAAAAAGGATTTTTTTTAAGTTAAAATAATGAACAAGGTAACATGCATGCAAGCGAACATTGACTACAAAAAATTAAACCAAAAAATGGGACCCACCTGCAAGCATTACCTTTCGGATAAAAAAAGAATTATCCAAATCGGTCCACTAGCGGCGGAGTTATGCCGTAACACACATAAAAAAAAAAAAAACATATCGTCGAATTGAATACCTCCTTCTTTTGGAAAGTCGGTCAAAAAGTAGTGGAAGACCGAAGGAAGTTTGCATGAATTGTGAAAGATGCGTCAGGGAGTAAATATGGCGGGTAAAGATGGTGATGATGGAAGAAAGACTCGGCACAAGCAGGAGGGTAGGTTGAAGATGTTCCATGTAACAATCAAACGTCTTTACGTCTTTATTAATCAACGTATAAGAAGCTACTTTATACTGAAAACAAACGTAATATTCTGCCTAAGAACTACAATTCTATGCTAACAATGCCAACTTCGCAAATTGGAACGAAACTTGAAATTAGTTTCCTGGCTCCGGCTCTACGTTTGGCCTCTACACGGAGAATGCAAGCAAATCTATAACTCACAGATAAACTTTATAATAAAACTAGCATTAGCTTGTGACTACGCGTGGAATTAAAAAAAAAACAGATGTAAGTAGCCTATGTGTTCTAGATTATGCTCTACATTTATGTCAAATTTCATCGAGATCCGATCAGCATTTTAGGCGAAGTGTTCTTAAGTAACAAACATCCATCCATCTATATCGCAATTATAATATTAGTAAGATTACCATAAGAACGGGCGCACACATTTCACTAAACTATAGCACATCTGGTGCGATTGTCGATTGTTTCGCAGCCAATTCAATTTAGTTGCACAACTAAAAATCGAGTAGTGTTCTCTCCTACATAAAATCTCATAGGATTCGAAGCGCGACTAAATAGTTGTGCGATAGTTTAGTTAAAGGTGTGCGCACGCTCTTAGTATGGGTATTCGAGCAGTTAAACTTTAAGTGCCTGATGTAAGAGATTCTGAAATGCATATCTGCACGAAAGAAATAAGCTTCACATCGATTTAATCTATACTATTATAATAAAGCGTAAACACACACTTCTTTGTTACCTAAGATGTCAGCAATTACATCATATTTTTGAAAAATTCTTTTTTTAATAAAAAGCCCTACACCTACGTCACGCTTTAGGCTATATGTTTTCACGCCATTAAACTTAGGGGGTAAATATTTTGGATAAAAACCTTGATGTTGGCAGCTAGGTTTGTCATGTCATGTCATTTTGACATTTGCTATTGATAACTTGCCAAATGTAAACAATAAATGAAAATGTCATAATTTCATGCGGATGAAGCCGCACGGGAACAGCTAGTCTTACTATAAAATGTTCTACAAAGCCTTTTCATGCAGTAATTGGCCGCCGCAGAATCTTTACATGACGCTAAACGAATAGCAAAACTGATTATTTTTTACTACTTCTGTGTTGGAAAACTTTCTACGAACGTGATATTAAAAGGAATTCTTGTTGGAAGTAAGTTCACTATTGCATACCTTTTTTAGTTTATAGTGTACTAGTTGCCAGCGTTGAAAAATGTTAAATTGTTATTTTAATTGTCATATAAAAGAGTAAATTATCATATCAGTTGTAAAGCATAAACTTTCTTAGAAAGGCTTCCTCAGAATATAAACGAATATAAAAAAACTTAAGAACCATTTTTTAGAAGAGTTGCCTTAAAATTAAATAATTCCTACATTTACACATATACAGTCTTGTAAGACATTGTTTCACCCATTTTTTTACCGACTTCCCAAAAGAAGGAAGTACTCAATTCGTCTATATGTTTTTTTCTTATGTGTGTTACGGCATAATTCCGCCGCTAGTGGACCGATTTTGATAATTCTTTTTTTATCCGAAAGGTAATGCTTGCAGGTGGGTCCCATTTTTTGTTTGATTTTTTCATAATTTTAATTAACTGAATTACCCAGATTAAAAAAAGAAAGATAAAAAAGTGAATTAACAATTAAATAAATGTCGTAAATCATAATTCCATTCACATTACATTGAATAAATTTAATATTAAAAGTTATTAAATGTTTTACATTTGAAGAAGCTGAATGTTGAGTAGAAATTGAAATCAGGAAACTAATTTCAAGTTCCGTTGCAATTTGTAGAGACGCCATTGTTAGCTTTGAAACGTACGGAGTTAACTTACATTTTAGATATATGGATTTTCCATCTATTCATATTAAAAGTTCAAATATACTTTTTAAATATGTTATTGAAGCATAGACATTTTTTTTTATAATCATAAGAAGTAGAAGCTATTAGCGCCATCTATGTTTAACACAACAACTTCTCGGAAAATGTTTCATACTTCATTATCTATACTAATATAATAAAGCGTAAACAAACACTTCTTTGTGGCGTAAGATATCAGCGTTTACGGCATATTTTTAAATAATTATTTTTTTAATAAAAAGCCCTTCGCTTATGCCAAGCTTTAGGCTATATATATATACATGTTATAAAAATTAGGGGGTAAATAAATTCGATAAAAACCCTAATGTAGAAAAGAGATCATAAGTTACGAGCTGCCAACATTAAGGAAGCAAGGTTGCCATGGTTTGTCATCATGCTATGTCATTTTGACATTTGCAATTGGATAATTTGACAATTGTAAACAATAAAAAAAAATTCTCATAATTCCAAAAGCGTTGTTTGTGAAAATTGAAATACCGGTTTTAGCGCTACTAGAACCCTAAGCGCGATTCCGACGGTACTCTCTTTTTACTAGGTCAAGGGGGGGGAGACTTATAAGACTGCGTAATTGGCAGACCTGTAGTGTCTCTTCCTGTTCAACACGCAGGGCGGTCATACCGCGGCATTGTTAACATAATTTAAGATATCGTTAAAAAACGGTTTCATAAAATTAAAACCTTAATATTCCCAAGTATCAAGTAAAAAACAATGTCAAGTTATAAACACGTTACGTATGCAGGGAATAAAAGAATTCTCTCTTAAGCTTTCCCTTTGACGTTTCCAGTCGACGCCCTCGAAAGCTTTCGTAATGGAGTCACGTATATATTTAAACGTCTCGATACCTTCTGTAGTCAATCTTTTTCGGTATCGCTGTGTTAAGGCTCGATCGTATCACGACTTTGATGTGTCGACTCGAATGCTTTTGTAAGGTCTTAAGTGATAAAAATATACTTTTTAGATTATACAGGATGCATACATTGATCATGCGCGTCATTGCCGAAGACAATACGCGTAAACTGTTATATATGATTAGTTTTTTTTTTTATAATATAAGGTGGCAAACGAGCAAGCGGCCACCTGAAGCCGCCGAAATGGCAAGCGACCGCTGCCCATAAACATCCGCAATTGCAGATGCGTTGCCTACCTTTAATTGACGAAGGAGAAGACGCACATAAAGAGGAAATTTCCCCTTCCTATGCGTCGCCTCCACCGTGAAATCCACTTTTCCTTCCCATCCTTTTCTAAGAATGGGATGTTAAGGGAAAGGGAAAAAATTAGGCCGCCGGCACCACACTCATCAGACGAAACGCGGAATTGCTTTCACTTCACGCCTGTTTTCTGTGTGGTGGTGGTACTGCACCGGACGAGTCGGCGTATTCGTGCGAAGATGTTAAAGCGGGATCTACCACTGTTGGTAAGTTATTTTTCAAAGTATTTGGCTGTTGAAGAGTACGATATTATCTACTTATATTTGTTGTACAACGTTTTTAAAGTCTCTTGGGGGTTTCAATCCACCATGATCAATTGGTGATAATTCTTATTTCGGGTCATGCCGAATTTAAAAAATTACTGGCTGATAAGAAGTTTTTGAATTTTTTTCTTTTCTTTTAAAAACTTCTTCATTTTTTTCTAACTGGCCAGTACGAAACTAGCGAAAAACTGTGATTCGAATGTAACGTGTATTTCGCGTAGTGCTCTTATGGTAACAAGCAATTAGTTCTGATGGACGAGTCTCCAGCATTCAGATATTAAATATGGCTTAATAGCTGCACTCTAGTGCTAGTTCTAAATAATGATGGATCTACGAAAAATGTTTATAAAATATTCACTAAAGTTTATTTGACTACAAGATTTTTGTTTGAAATGATCTGACAATTTGCCTTAAAATTACTTCTATATTCCAAAAATTTTGTTATTTAGAACACGCGTACGCATTTCAAGGCTAGAAATACACTTATTTTTGAAGTCAATGTAATAAAGAATATTTGGATATAGAATTTTTTTTTCTTAGAATAAGCAGCTTTCGATGCAGTCACAGGCCGTAATTTAACCGAAAACCGTCGACTTTACCGCAAAGTCAATAAATCTAAAAGATTTCTATTATAGATAATACCGCCGGCTTTCCATGTTTCGTTTCGTTTTACGTCACTGTTTCTCAGTTACAATTGTATTTATGAGAATTTAAGAGTTAATTTTTCTTACCAAAGTATAACAAGGTAACTAAAATGATTTATTTTTAATCTGATATTAAAAGTATTTGCGACTGTTAACTATATTTTGGCAAAGAAAAGAAAAAAAAGGTACTTAAAGATGTACATTTAAAAAGAATTCTTTATTTTTGTATCTGGAAATCTAACGCAGGAATAAATCGTGTCAAGAGCGTGCGCACATCTGAAATTATACTATCCGAGAACTGTTTAGTCTCGCTTTGATTGTTATGCTCTTATATGTAGGTGTATAATACTCGATTTTTAGTTGTGCAACTAAACAGTTGAATGGGCTGCGAAACAATCGACAATCGTGCGCCTGATCAACGAGTTTTTCTAATATTATGAAACTAATTCCTTCAGTAGATTGGACACTTAATACTCAAATCTGTCAAATTATTTGCGAAGAACTTAGTTAGGCAAAAGGTAAAGATTTTAAATTAATTATCATTGACTTTAATTGATTAAAAAAAGTAGCCTGTATTCCCAGACTGTGTTCTTTTTTAGATATGTAACTAGTGACAAAAGTTGCCGGCAAAAGGAGTGTTGGTCGTCGAAAGAAATCGTGGTTACGCAACATCCGAGAGTGGACAGAATTTGCGAGTGCCGCCCAACTGTTTCGCTTTACAAGAGATAAAGTCAAATTTGGAGAACTGACCGCCAACCTTCGCTAGTCGGAGAGGCACCTTAATAAGAAGAACTAGTTATAAATATCCTTTCATCCAAACTTTCACATTTATAACTATGAGTTTCATTTACTTTAGATTTTTTTCTATCTTAAAATAAATTAGTCTACTTAACTATTCACTTTATAATGACTATTATATTAAGCGTAAATTTTCAAAGTCAATTTTAATTTTTCTCGTTTAACTATTAAGCGTGCAAACAATTCGTTCTCCAATTAATTTCACGCTTTCTTAAACAATTTTTACGAGAAAAAAAATTGTAAAGTGCTCCTTTCCACTTGAAAGTTAATTACTTAAAAAAATCTTGAATATCATTTAACAAACGCTGTTTTTAATTTATGCAGACTTTTTGAAAAAATGATAAAATATTTTTATACTGTTGCAAATTATTATTTTTTTACTTTTTAATTAAAAATGTTTAAGGTATTTACGGTTAGTTGCAATTTATAATTGCTTTATACGTAAGCAATCGATGAAAATATAGTTTGTGATTAAAAATGTACACGTATTTGAAGTTTTTGATATATGTGGTGTCAGTTATAAAGTTATTTTTAATTGAACCTTTTTATTCAGCGATTAGTTGCAGGGTATGGTTAAATTATTAATTAATTTCTATTTAATTGAATAAAAAAAATAAGCGCCTTAAAATTAAAAAGGCAATTTAAATATTTATTTATCTTCTTGCTTTCGTCCGGGTGTCATTAAAAAAATAAAAGTGAGTAGCCTATGTGTTCTTTTAGACTATCATTTAGCTCTATACCAAATTTCATCGAGTTCCGTTCAGCCGTTAAGGCTACATACTCTAACAAACATCCATCCATCCTTCAATCTATCAAAACTGTCGCATTTATAAGATTAGTAAGAAGTAAGATTTTAACGATCGAGAGTTGGGTGCATGTTTACTAAAGCTTACTTATTAATTATTTAAATTATTTAAAATGCTTAACTGTCATCTAGACACATTTAACGACTACGAGTGTCACTTACGTATATTTTGCACGACCCCCTTTTTTTCTAATATAAGGTGGCAAACGAGCAAGCGGCCGTGACAATCCAAAGAAATGGGAAGCGACCGCTGCCCATAGACATCCGCAATTGCAGATGCGCTGCCTACCCTTAATTCTTATTATCCTTATATTCTAATCCTTTCCTTTTAAGGAAAGGATGGAAAGGGAAAGGGACTAAAATTAGGCCTCCGGCCCCACACTCATCAGACGAAACGCGGAATTGCATCCACTTCACGCCTGTTTTCTGTGTGGTCGTGACCGGGCGAGCCAGCCCTACAGTGCGAAGATGTTAAAGCGGGCTCTATCACTGTTACCTCTACACGAATAATTTAAGTAGTTAATGATTGAATGCAAATAAGAGTTTAAAATTAATATTTTCGCAGGATCGTAGTGTCCATTTAAGGTTAGATGGTGGACTTTGTTTTGAAATACCTCCATGGCAATATCTACCTGTGGAAATGGACCATCATATAGCTAAGGTGAAGGAGGCTTGGGGCAATCTGTCATCAGTAAGAGATACAAGGAGATTTAGCTTAAGTATTACTAATAGGTATGTATTTAAGACGAGATTTCCAAAGCTGTCTAGCAGCGATTGTTTTTTGTCGACTTCCGTGTTCGAAATTCAAATATTCTTAATGGGATATTTAGCTATATTCTGGATTAAATTCAAATTAAAGAATGAACGTGTTAATTAAAAAAAATTGTAGTGGCCTGAAACTTGTTGAACATATTAAGTTTTTAGAATGAAAGTGAACGTCAGACGAGTAATTGGTCCTGGAAGTGTGTTCTATCAGGTGTCGTGTTTTTAAAAATTCCACCTCTTAGTTAAGTGTTCGATTGTCTTCATTTAAAATAGAGTTTTTTTTTTACTCCTGGTCATCTTTTAATTTTATTGTAGTAAAATAAGTCAATACGTAGATACAGTTATTGGTCCGTTCTTGGACACGTATCACAAAAACATCCAGACGTCATATCAGCAGATGACCAATAAGATACTTCGGAAGACGAAAGACGAGATCAGCGCTGCGATAAGGATAAAGCAGAAAGTATATGAAGAGTTGATTAAATTGTCAGACCGATTGGCGGTCCCAGGTATTCTTACTTCTTACTAATGTTATAAAAGCATAAGTATATTAGGAAGATATATCCTAAACGAATGAAGGCCGGATGACGGCTGGAGGTTCTCTCCATTAAAAGCATAGATAGCATAGCTTAGTCTGGAAGAACAATAGACTATTTAATTTTTTTTTAAATACGCCCTGATTATGTCGCGGGTAAGAGCTAATCTGAAATCTACTATGAAATTATTCAACCAATTATAATTTAAAATAAGAGAGCGTAAAATCGTAACCCGTTAGATGGCACTGTAATTAAATTTGACTCTACTTCTAAAAAACATTACTTGTGCGCCAAAGCTTTGCCGATAGCTCCATGATTTCACACGATTTAAAAAAATAGTCTTCAAAAAATTCAACTTCTCAAACGAAGAAAGAAAGAAGATTAATTTGCATACTGCTACATTTAAATTTGTACTGGCAATTGTGACTATTGTAATTGTTTATTCGTTTTAGCAATGTGTGACGAGGAACGTCGGTACGCGCGTACCATCGCAAGTCGTCATGTGGCACAGATCTACAAATGTACAGAGGAGGCGAGAAACTCTATCACAAAGATGGGAAAATATGCAGAGGAAATGATAACGATCACACGCAACCATATGCAAGCGGCATTAGCTAATGCTACCAGTAAATTTGATACTAACAAACAGTATGAACGAGACAGGGACAAGTATGTATGAAGACTTAGTTGTATACTTATTTGGGGTTATAACTGTAGAAGCTGTTCCCGTGCGGCTTCATGATAATTATTTTTTAATTTCACGCAGACGAAGTCGCGAGCAATAACTGGTATTTTACATTTAGTACTTGAATATTTATTTCAGGTATCCTTTTGCTAGTTTTCGATCATCTCCAGTCACTTTATGTTTACAGAATAAATCATAGCGCATGTTTGAAAGAGCTATCGAAGGCGGCGGTGTCTCTCGGGTACGAGTTGGATCTCAGTTTGACAAACGCACGTCGCTACAACGAACAGTCCTGCGAGAAATTCACCGTCTGCTGCACAAGAGCTCGCAAGGATACTGAGGAATCTACCGTAGCGTTGAAAGATTATCTGTACCAATGTGTATATGCTTAAATCTTTTTAATATTTATCTTTTACGAGCTGTTCCCATGCGGCTTCATTCGCAAGAAGTTAATAAGTATAGATATAGATGTAGATGTAGATGTAGATGTAGATGTAGATGTAGATGTAGATATAGATGTAGATGTAGATGTAGATGTAGATGTAGATGTAGATGTAGATGTAGATGTAGATGTAGATGTAGATGTAGATATAGATATAGATATAGATAAATCGGAGCCAATGTCACCTAATGCTGGTTGAAACGCCTGTTCGCTAGTTGAACTACAGTTTGTTGAATATTTTATATTTGTAACAAAAATACAATCATAGATGCTGTTAATAAATTATTTTCGTTTCTCTTCGGTAACAGAAAAATAAGCATTTATTAACTATAAGAAAGGAACTGGCCTCTAAGGAGGGCAATGTATTAAAAGAGAAATAAGATTTTCCTGAATCGCTTCTCCGTTTCTGACGTCACATCGTTTATTTTTAACAAAACAGCAATATTTTGGATTTATTAATTTCGTTTTTAATATAAGAAAGATCCGCGCTGTCTTTATACAATTTGAATGTATAAAAAGGCGGAGTTCATAATATTTTACGGTTTTTATTCTCATGTCCAATGTAGAACATCTTTTTTTCAAAGAGTTTTTTAATTATTTATTTATTGTATATACAAGTTTTTCCTTGAAATTATACCTGTAAAAGTCCTAACGACTTTACTAAATATATCATCATAAAGATTATTTTAATCTAGTTTGCGCCCGCGACTCCGTCTGCATGGAATTGAAAAAAGAAACAAAAGTACCTGTTTTTCCAGCCTATGCTCTAGATCTATGCCAAATTTCATCGAAATTTTCAGTCGTTAGGCTACAAACTCGTAACAAACATCCATCCATCGCAATTTTAACATTAGTAAGGTAATAAAAATGATAGTATTGTGTCGAAGCGGTGGTATAAAATAGTTTGTTGAAAAGGGAGGAATGGTCACATTAATATTCTTAATTCCCGCTAAATGCTGCGGTCAAACGGACAAATGACACGTCGTTAGCATGTGGCGCCACCGCTCGGCGGTTGACGGAACTGCAATTGCAACTTATACACTCGATTTAATTACATGTCTTCAAGCAGCGAAGACTTTTGTATCTATTTTGACAACATAAAAAACTTCTTAGAAATAAAAAAAAAAAAACTTTTTTTACGCAGTTAATTTTGTAACTTTAAAGTGACAATTGAATTAAACAACGTAAATATTAAGTTTAATTTATAAATTTATTTAAAATGCCCAACATTTTGTTACATAACTTTTTATTAATTAATGTTACGCGGTGTAATATAACATGTAATAATGTGAGCATGCATTACATACTGTTACGGGGAAACCAACGAGCTTTGATGCGTATGTTACACTTCGTAACACCGCGTATCGCCTGTCATCTGTACTATACTATTTTATTTTTTATTTTATCTATACTATTATAATAAAGCGTAAACACACACTTCTTTGTTGCCCAAGATGTCAGCAATTACAGTATATTTTTGAACAATTATTTCTTTAATGAAAAGCCCTACACTTACGTCACGCTTTAGGCTTTACATTTTCACGCCATTAAACTTAGGAGTTAAACATTTTGGATAAAAACCTTAATGTGGGAAAATGACCATAAGCTACGAGTTGCCAACATAAAAAAAACCAAGGTTGTCATTTATGCATTTGAATTTTGACATTTTACAAATGTAAACAATAAAGTTTTTATAATTTCACGCGGATGAAGCCGCTCGGAAACAGCTAGTTACGAATGTTTATGCGTTGTGTTCAGATGACAAGAGAGTTCAAATTTGACTGCAGCTAAAATAGGCGTAATGTTATAAACATATGTAGTACACTGTTTCGTAAGTGCATACTATCATTTTGTACAGTTAATGGTTGAATCGTCGATCGGAACAGATGTGACTCGAAACCCGTGTGTACCCACGATCACATTATATCTAGTTTACGAGTAAAACACGACTTGGATAGTATACACGTTGAGTAGACAAATATATGAAAAATGTTTTCCATTCACTTTAGTGTATGTAATTTTGCGCATTGTATCGTTTTTAAATGTTACAATCTAATTTTTGATGATAGAATTTTAAAAGCCTTTTTTTTGTGTTGTTTTTATACTATTTTTTGACCGACTTCCCAAAAGAAGGAGGTACTCAATTCGTCTGTATGTTTTTATTTTTTTTTTATTTTTATTTTTTATGTGTGTTACGGCATTACTCCGCCGCTAGAGGACCGATTTTGATAATTCATTTTTTATCCGAAAGGTAATACTTGCAGGTGGGTCCCATTTTTTTGTTTGATTTTTGGAGTCTAAGACTACGACGTAGTTAAATAGTGTAGCTCAAAATTGCGCGACGAAATTTAGGGTCATTTTTGCTTTCTTTGCTTACGTAGCCTAAACTATAAGACCTACATAAAAATGATGTATGGAAGAATTCACGTGAAAAAGTCCACGATAGTATATATCTATCTATTAAGGTTGTCGCACAATAACCACTTTTTTTTAAATGTAAACTACTGATTTCTACCGAGGTACATGTAAATACAGTTGGTAGTTTTTAAGTGAAAATTTGAGGGTGGTTGGCATATAAGTTGTACGTCGACCGACAAACGAGCTGTGCACCCATTGTTTATGAAACTTGTATTTTATGTAGCTGCCGCCGTCATCTCTTATACTAATATTACAAAAATGATTTGTATTTTTGTATGCATTGAAATAAATTTCTTTCACCTAAACGCTACGTTATCATGGAGTAACGTACACTATGGTTTTTACTATTTTTTAATTCCAGGCAGACGGAGTCGCGAGAAACAGCTAGTATTGCTTAAAGTAGGAACAAAACGTCTAGCGGACTAGTAGCGTCCTTTCAACCAGCCTTCAAACATACATACAAATATTCTATCTTATTATGGTTAAGGCTGTTTTTAAGTTAAGTATCTTTATTAAGTTAGCGAAGATTTAAATAAGTTAACTAATTTAAGTATTAACTTAGTTTTCAAGTTTCCTTATATTACCAAAAAAAACTAAGTTAAGATAAACTTTCTTGTAAAGTTTAAAGTTTATTTATAGTGTGATAATTAAAAATAACAGCACGAGCTCGTGTTGTTTTTAAAAGTGTTAAAAACCTTTCTAAATTAACATTTTATGTTAACACAGTGGAGGGAGTTTGCATTGTGAGAGTAGTTAAGTGCTTCAGGTGATTTAAATGTAAATTTATTTTACGACCACCTCACTAACGGACATCTGAAGGAGGAAAAGATACATGCACTCTAGTTTTTTTATTATTCATTGAATACTAACTTTCGCTTATGACTCGTTCCGCGTTTAAAAAGGCAAATGTATAGCCCATGTGTTCTTCCAGACTATGGTATACATCTATGTCAAATTTCATCGAGATCCGTTCCGCAATTTAGGCTACAAACTCTAACAAACATCCATCCATCTAAACTTTTTTCTAATAATATGCCGTGGGAGTATGTTACGAAAACAGTATTCACAACATACATGGTAAAGTTACAATATTTTTTTTTTCAAGATACATTTATTTGTTATAGTTCATCATCATCATCATTTATTTTAAATATATTGCATTACAATTTTCCGTAAAAGGAATCTGGTATGAGCATTGCAATGTTCATATTTAATACGCTACGTCCCAGAGCTTTAAGCTCAACTAATCTGATTATACGTGCCCGTGCGAGCTTAGGACTCTTAGGCTCACAATGCTATTCAAATCCTTTTTGAATCTGATATAACTAGGAATTGTATGTAGAAATGTAACTGTAGTATTTCAATCTGTATTATTAAAGACTAACTTTTGCCCGCCACTCCGACTGCTTGGAATTAAATAAAAACGAAAGTAAGTAAGACTTGCGTCCTCTCAGATTATGTTCTACATTTATGCCAAATTTCATCCAGATCCGTTTAGCCGTTTTGGCAACAAACTCTAACAAACATCCATCTAAACTTTCGCATTTGTAATATCAGTATAATTACTAGTGTTTTTTAAAGATTTCTTGTGACGTCATTTAATATGACAATTTTGTACGTTTAATTAGAAATTAATAAGCCACAGCTTCTCCTGTGTGGTAAAAATTTAACACATATGTACTTTTGTATCCGTACCCTTCTCTTTTTTATGACTATGTAGTTTCATAACCTATTTAGCAAATAAATAAATCTTTTCTTATTATAACAATAGTTTTATATGAATACGAAATGAGTTCTCAGGCTAAATTTATCACGCAGAGGTTAGACAACCTTTTTTTTTAATACCTGCCAGTCTGTCAATCCGTAGACCGTCTTAGAGAAAGATTAAGTCCAGGATAGTTTCTAAAAGAAGGTTTTAGTTTAAAATTCGTACTTCGGATCTATCCTTATTTCCATATATCCTTTACTAATGAAATTTGACTTCGGATCGAGTAGTATTTCGGTAATTAGGAATTCCGAGTACAAGATTGCTGTAAGCTACTTGAGCGTAATCTTAAAGCGGCTAAAAGCCAAGCGAGCGCGTGGACAAAGGGGATAAGTTCAAAACTTCTATAAATTGCTAATAGCGCTAATAGTTCCCGTTGAGCTCAAAACTTTATGTAGTCAATTATTTAAACGGAATTCGAAAACTTTAGATTTCGATGCGAAATCATAACTTTTAGTAGATAGGTTTGAATGTATAAAGTAGTTGTTATGCTTATTGTAGAGTTGCTAATGTCGAAACAGGTGTACAAAAACAAACGAACTCTCATACTTAACAGTGGTAGTGCCCGCTTTAACATCTTAGCACGAATGGGCCGGTACGCCCGGAAATACCACGACCACACAGAAGATAGGCGTGAAATGGAAGCAATTCCGTGTTTCGTCTGATGAGTGTGGTGCCGGAGGCCTAATTTAAGTCCCTTTCTATTTACCACATTTTTCTTATAAGGAGAGGTTGGGAAGAGGATGTGGATTTGACGGTGGAGGAGA